TTTATATTTGTTTTCATGCTGTTGATTTTTGACCCGTTTTAATAATCAAAATTCAACCAATTTTCAACGGGCTGAGTCTTAATTCAACACCGTTAGTCTCAATATTCGACGTTGAAATCTGAACAACCCCCTCCCCCCGGATTAATTTTCAATCCGGGTCAAAATTCTTTGTTACACAGACAGCTATTTTTTCAAGATTCGTTTTACTGAGAGAATAATGTTATATATAGAGATATTTTATTGAATTTTTTAAGTAGTATTTAAAATTGTTGATTATGGCACACGCCAAGTTTTAACATTATAATATAAGTGGAACAAAAATTAGTTTGTCTATAAATCAATATATCACATTTGCAAACAAACGCCGTGAGCCCAATGTAAAGGGAGTATTCCATACTCTAAGGAGAGAGGGCGTACAAGGCGAGGACAATCCCCCGCTCTGAGACAATATTTTTCTCATTTTCCAAAGTTCACGGAAAAGTTATATTTTTCGAAAATTGTGTTTTCAGTAATGGCATCTTCAACAATATGATTCATTTATTTCATTGAACGACTTATTAGTTGATAGTTGATAATTTGTTTTTTAAGTTGTAAGTTAAGCATATTTAGTGGAAAATGGGTTTATTGGAGCCATATTATATGAATGTGTCAAGTCTCCATTCCACACTAATGTTTAAACGACGGAAAAGTAAATATAAAATCTATTTTATGTTTCAAAAATGAAGTCTGAACCCATTCTATATGAAATCGAACATTTCTGAAAAAAAATTTAAGCTTCAACAAACTCGTTTATTTAAATCACACTGACACACATCGATGACAAGAAGATTTTTGGCTGAATGGTTAATGTGTGCACGCATGCACGCATGCTAACCATGAGCATTGGAGAGAGTTCAAATCATGCACGAAGCTTTTTCATATACCTTAAAAACATATGTAAAAAAATGATTTATTAAAAAGTTTTTCAATAAAATAAAGGAAGCAAATGTGTAAAAGGTTATAATGACAATCCAATTTTTGAAAAATGTAACTTTTCTTGAACTTTTAGAATTAAGATTTTTTTTTTCAGAGAGAGGGATTGTCCTGGCTTTGTACGCCCTCTTTCTTTGCAGAATAACAATCGCTTAAAACATTGTATGAAACATGTCAGTCGAAATACGATTTCATTTTCTTTTAAAGAGAAATCAATTTTTTTTAAAAAAGAAAAACATGTTTTCAAGTGTGTCTATGTGTCACAATAAATAAATAAATAAAGCTTTTGTTATATTGAAAGACAACAGTTTTGCTAGCTGCTTGTTTATTGTGGAATAGTTTATTCACTTGTCTTCACTAATCTGAAATAATGCATTACCAATCAATTTCCATAACAGACGGATATACTTTTTAAACAGCAAGCACAGACAAATAAAAATTGCACTTCAATTATATTTGGTCCTGTCGAATAAATGCATCTCTAGTTTAGGCAAACTATATAACTGGTATGAGATGCAAAGTTTAGTAATGCAGAACCGCTTGCACAATTAATGATAATTTGTCAAATTATATTGCTGCAAGATCTATCTACCAAGTGTTGACAAACTTGAGTAGTTAAAATGCCAACTTGATAAAGTGCATTTTTCATTTAGAGCAATAAAATATGTATACAATATGGATAAGTCTATCTTAATTCCGAATGATGTTGGTTTTTCCCAGTTCTGTGTTTGTGTCGACACTTAGGGTCACTTTACCGGCATCTGTCTAGTTGTCCGTCCGTCTGTCACACCCTATACGTTTAGAACTGTAAGAGGTATGGATTTGATATTTTGTATATATATTGCTTGGATTTTGTAATATACCATTGTTATTGACCTCATGACCCTTGAACTTGACCATTGACCTATTTTCAAATATTTCTTTGAAGTATCCATACTGCATACATATTTTATTACTTTAAAATATACAGCATATTTTTGACATTTAAGAAGGAAAGTCTATGCTATTTAGCATGTGCACTGTTTTCCATAAAACATTATGAAAAATATCAGCGTTACAATTCACTTGACCTTAAGCTTTAACCTTCTTTGCAAAAATTACTCAGTTACAGTTGATTTAACTTGTGCCTTTTGAATTTCGAAAGACAGGGTTTTGACAATGAACATCTTTACCATATGATTTTGAGCTCATGACACAGTTACTGTATTTGAACTGTATGCTATACAGTTACCACACAAACTGAAATTAGAATACTGTGAAAAGATATCGGGTTCGGTATACCAAAGTAGACTGAAAATTGCAGTAAAGACAGACTGAAATCTCTTTTGGATGATAGTTGGATAAATTATTTCAATCTCATTATTCATTTTATCTTTGAGCGTTAGGGAATCATATTTTTATTTGATTGTCAAATTTTATATGATCAATGTTTTTCTATCGGTCTTACTCTCAGTGAATGTTATTTTCTTTGCAGGCAAATGTCTGACCTATAATGCTAGTAGCAAATAAATAGCGGACTACCTTTAGATTTATTTTATATTTTAATGATGCTATAAAGCAGGCGACATATGCGTTCCTTGTAATACTTTAGTTATATCAAGAGGCGTATAAATGAAGTCCACATGGTTGACAAAGAATTTTCACAATAAGCTCATTTATTAAAAACAAACGCCATCCCATATTTTAGTTAATTCAGCTGCAATATGCTTCAGTGAAATATTTTTAGATGCTTTTTTAAGGGTGGGGTGGGGGAGGGGTGGGTTGAAGGGGAGTTATCACTGTTTGCTATACACAAGGCATTCCTTCTTTTTAAAAGATTGTTCTTAAGAAAAGGAAATATTCAATGTAAAGCCTTTGTTTAAAGGATTTTGTTAAATGTAGCTCATTTAAATTTTACGACCCTGATTTGTTGCTTTTTGTGTAATTATGGATCATTAAACCCTTTATTTTATTATGTACCAAAAGAGTTGCACAAAAAATGCAGACAATATATCTGTCAGAGAGCACGGTGAACCCCGAGAGATACGACTTTCTTTAATTATGACTCGTATATAATTATTTTTAATCAAATAAAAAGTCAGACAATCTTTTACTTGATACTTTCTATAAATGTCAGATATGATTCAATTTACACAGAGTTTAAAACATAAATTTGAAATGAGATTCTTATTCATCGCTAATTATGAAATTAACAAAAGAATCAAAATTCTTTAAAAGTAATGAATAGATTTCAGTATGGCGTAATGCTATGAATATATGTAGATGATAAGGAATTCGAAGAAAATAAAGACGTATATATTTATTTCTGTTAACATTGCATTATACTGAGAGAAATTATGTTGATCATATTTGTTAATAATTGCATCTACCCACATTCACAATAAATCACATTTGCAAACAAACTCTGTGCAATGATGCCCTAATAACTTCAATAATTTTTTGAAAATTAAAAATTCTGAAAAGAGGATTTTTCCCACCTACATGTATATGCCACATTTTTCTACTCTGAGTCGGGAGAGGGCAAGCAAAAATTTTTTTTGAAGACCAGTTGATTCTCATGTAATTTTATGTTATGTTTGTTGGGGGTCAGATTGCATAATACTTGTTGAAGATACTCTTTGTTTGTCCATGTTTTCTAGTCTTTTCTGACCCCAATTATTTGTACAAGTTTTATATTCGTCATTTTTGATTAACTGACATTTTTTCAATTCAAAACTGTGTTACTGGTTCTGTCTGTCTGGTCAAAAAACAAGCTTCGTCAACTCGGCAAGGTATTTAGGCAATCAATGGAACATAAAGAATTTTTTGAAGACGGCCAATAGTCTGTCTTACCAGAGTTTAGTAATGGAGACCTTTGATCAGTACATTGACTTCTTTTTTGCAAATATTTTGATAGTTATTGATTACATTTAATCTAAATCCCTTGCATCCAGTTTTTAACACTTTTAAATTGATACAGTTCTATTTTTTTTTTTTATAAATAATTTTAAAATAGCAGTAATGCATCATGCACCATATTAGAGTTTTAGTACATTTTCCCTAGAAAAAAAAATCTTGGAAAGATAGCTCTTGCTAATGGATGCATCTTTTCACAAGCATCAGTAGCGCATTTTGTTGTTTTCGAATAAGAATTAAATATGTATGACACTAATTATCATTTTCATATACACCTCATTTTTTTTTAATTTTATGTTGTGATGATAAATTATTGCTCTTCCTATTCTCTATGTCGAACTTTCTTAATATCCTAGTCAGACACTATATTCATCTCTGAAAAAGTAAGCCCCGCTTCCTATTTCATACAGTTTTCCATTTGGATCTAATACTACAGTTGATGAAAATTAATGTTGGGCAGTTTTAAAAAAAATGTGAAATTTAGAGCAGAGTGTCATTACTCCTATAAATCAGATTTTCTAATTAATTACCTGAATTTGTTTAATGTGAGGAAATTCAATTTGAAAAAAAATATCAAGATATTTGTTAATGTAAGCCATCCAATACAGAGATAAGCAAAGCTGTAAAACAACTTTCTTAAACTAGATAATAAGGAGTGAAAAATTGGTGTTGGAAAATGTATGTTGTATAGCTGAAGGATGACGTTTACTCTGATGAAAAATATAATCTAAATTAATATCAAAAGAGAAAAATAGTTTTCCAAAAAAAATTTAAATCAAACTTTAGACCGAATTTTCTCTGCACCACTATAAACGTACCTTTGTTTTTGCATATTTTCTTCGAAACTTGTTAGTGATATTGACTTATTACATGGCTATTTTGTCCATTTAGAACAAATTTTGATTTTATTGTGCTTCATAGCAATCGTTTTAGTCAACTAAAACCTAGAGTAAACGTCATCCTTAACGTTTGTGTTAAGTAGTTCAACTTATGAAATAACTTGTTCTCTTAATTCACAATTGTAACAAACAGGTATTCATAAAATCGTGGGAAATAGATAAGTATATGAAAATTGCTAATCGAATAATTTATTCAAGAAATCCAATATCAGGATTCAACCTGCAATTGTTAATTTATGAAGACAATCGAAAACCAGAGAAAGTGTTCCCTGCATATCTGAATCTCACTGACGAATTAATTGTCCATCTCTTGGAGGCACGGATCCATACTCTATCTCCCTTTTTCAGGCGGAGGACTGCCATGTTACTTCCCATGTTGTATCCTTTCTGGATTTTTCCAGAAACAGCTTCTGCTATGAATTTCCCATTGAGGGTCAACCAGATTGAATGACTAATACCTCGCTCTGGCATGGAGGTGAAGAAGAAGACGTACGTTCCAGACAGTGGACACCGGAAGTTCCCTGTACGTTTGTTGTACCCATATCCTTGGTTATTGAGAACATGGGTATATCTGAAAGTCTGACCTTTGTAGTAAATGGTTTGTCCTGTTCCTGACATGTACGCGGTGAAGGCAATGGTCCTGCTGTTTCCTTTCAATTCATGAACATTTTTTAAATGACATTTAAAACAGCGACTTTCATAATTTATAATCGAAAATAATCAAATGGACATTTTACAAAATGGATAAGCCAATCTTTAACCAAATGGGGTGAGTTTTTATCAAAGGAAAATGTGTTTATTAACAAGATCTTACCTTTGTACGATCGTTTGTAAACTTCCGTTTTCAGTTGATGCAATTCACTTCTAAGTTCTGAAATTTGGCTGTTTAGACCGTCATAGGTCCATTCATATTTTACAAAATAAAAAGACCATATACCGGTAGATTATAGATATTCATATTTAGGAAAGGATCATATGAAAACAACAAAAGAGACAACCAAGAAGTTGTCACCATGGTACTAAGTGCTTGCAAGTGATTGCAAATACTAGCTTCTGGAGCATGCATGTAGCTGCTGCATGCTTACTTGCGATCTTAATATTATTTGCTTTAGGATGTTGTATTTTTTTGATCGATCGAATGCCTCAACTTTTCTGAATTCGAAAGAGTAATTGGTTTTTCTTTTGAAAGCGAATCAACTTTGGGAAAGTTAACTTACATGAGAACAACTGCCATCACGATATTTTCTTAAATACAATTAAAACAATTATGAAAGAAGGAAACGAATTCTGTTTCTGAATTAAAACTTTTACTCTTATAAAGAATGATAATTCGCGTCTGATGAAATTCTGAAGTTCTATACATCAGGTGTCTATGGATTTGCAAAGGTTAAAGAAAATACTTGACTATTTTTGTATGCTCAGAATTATGATTCTCACCATGGATTAGAAATCGGAAAACATCTCATGAGGGGAAATATGTATCTTTAATGGTGGGAACTTGTTTTGCTACATACCTGTTCGATCAAAGAAATGAAAAAAAATCACTTCACGAAAGTACCACCGTATCTAGCAAGCTGATCATGAAAAATAAAACTTCAAAATTGGATACACTACACAATGAAAAGTGAGCTGAAATGCATGAGTTATGTATGACATGCAAAGAAATCATTTGCAACGAAAAAATTACGTGACGATGAGTTCATACATGTATATACTAAGTGTAAATTACATTGTACTTACTAAGGCATGGTTAAAGTCAGTAATCCTACTTTGCTTGACTTCCTGTCTGAAACTGAATCATTTCCCAGATAGGATACATGTATCAAAGCATAGAAAAAAAATTATAAAATTAAATATAATCATATTTATAAGAAATAAATATTTGATACACCGTATTCTTTATAAGATAAATAAAGAATATTTATTTTCATGTTTACGAACGTTTATTTACCAGCAATTCTACAAGAGTCAATATCTTTAAAAGAAATTGTGGATACCGTTACACTTGTTTCGAGAAATTTGTAACTTTTCAAAACAGGAGAAAGAAGCTTTATAATAAAGCATCTAGTGTACACTAGACAAAATTGCTAACGCACCACCCAAGAAAATTAATATTTTACTTTTCAAAACTTGTTTATGATGTATTTGATGTATAATTATGTTACTAAAATAAAAAAAAAATGAGGCATTTAAATGCCATAACTGATAAATTACTACAAAAGTTTACTGAAGCGTAAGCATTTCTTAGAAAAAATTAAAATCGTGTCCATACGTTTTTGAAAGAATATATTTCTATTTTTTCTTTGTGTTTGTGTTCTTTACGTTTGTACTAATTAAAAACTCAGAAAAAAAGTTTTACCGTACGCGGTGTATGACCCTAGAAGAGCGTGCTAAAGCAGACAGTATGGTGTCTGTAGGAGGTTCCTTTGGAGAAATTTGGAAAAAATGAAAACAATTGAAATATTATTAATTAATGAAAAGTTGTTGCAAAGAGATTAACAAACATAAAAATGTTTACTATAGATAGCCACGTCATTAAGTAAGCAGCACACGATAATTTCAAGATTATTCCACAAAATTGGGGCAACCGGAAGTTGGTTGGATTTGGTATGGACACCAAAGCATTGGATGACTACTAGGCGATATGATAGCCAAAAGCTGTATGTTATTTGATTTTTAACTTGGAGACTGCTTCTGTGGCAACCTCACGGACCTCCTTTGGTGATCACCAACTTCATATCTGGGCAAAAACAGCGCGCAGTGCACGTCGGGAAATTGGTTCTCGGGCAAGAAGGTCATTTAAGGGTCTTGTCATAATACCAAGTCATTTGTCAATCCCACTGTTTTGAAAAAGATTGCAAATTCTATATACTAGTACTAGTAGAGGCAATTGTTCAATTCATAAATAAGAATAACAAGTGGTGCGTTAGAAATTTTGTCTAGTGTATTATGCATTGTAATGATAGTAGCATAACCTCCTGTGCCTATTTGTGATGTCTTTGAAATAAATGTTAAATAGTAAAAGTGTGTCATAAATACCTTAAATTATTCATCAATTACAAGGAATAGTTTTTGATCTTTCTAACAAGGTTAGTTTGTGTCGGCACACCATATAGTGACGATTGAGCTGCACTAAAAGTATGTTAAAGGAAGAACATTCAAAATGATTACTGGTTATGGAAGTTGTAGATCTAAATCAATTTCGGCATTTTCTTATCGAAAGACGTTTACCTGTACTGTAAAGAGACAATTGATATGATTAGTGAAACCAAACATCATTAAGTAATATTTCAACTAGATCAAACTGGTTGAAGAATGCGGATAAATTTAATCGCATCAATTATGAACATCTAGATGAAAGAAATAAAAAAGAAACTACAAATCCAGCAAAACAAATTTATAACAAAACAAACAAGTAATTATAACAAATATAAAAAAGGTAGTAATAACAAAATCAATAGCATGCTATCTTTTCCTTTTAATGCACATACGTATGTAAACATGTATGTTGATTTCAAGGAAATCTACCTTGGTATTCATTTCTGACATTGGGATCAAGAAGTGGGTAAAGTACAAAAATATCATCATCACATCTAGCTTCCATAATAAGACAGTAATGTGTAGATTTATCCAAAGCTAAAAGAAAATTATTTGAGCCATGATTGTACTTTTCAACCTCGAAAAGTGAATATTTTTGTGCAATTAGCAAGTGTTCACTTCCTGATGTGAATTTGTTTCGCTCCTGTTTACTGATCAACCTCTGTTTCTTTGAAGTATCACGACAAGGAATTCATGCCATGTAAAATATACCTGATGTGTTCATTAGATGATTTTTTGTTACGTTAAGCTTTCCTCATTCCTAGATATTGATATTCATGAAATCACCTCATTATAAATCAGTCAAAATACGTACTTTAAGTTCCTTTCTGGTCCGTAAATCGTCTAGCTTAAAAGTATTATAGAGTTTTAGGCAAGTCAGTATTCTACAGTAGTGTTGAAATTCAAAAGAATTGTATCCAAATGGACTAATAAATATTTTATTGCAATTAATCAGGTCAAGTTCTTGGACATATATGTATGTAGAATATTTAATTAAACAATTCTGTATTATTATATGAATTAAGTATGTAACGGAGCATACTGTCTTCAATTTCTGTGAATTAACTTATAATTACCAATAATTGTTCTAGAATAAATTATTTTATTAATTAAAAAACAACAAAGACATTTTTTTTTCTATTGACCAAAGAGGATAAAGTGAAAACAAACTTTTCTGGACACGAGGGTTTCTCATATGATGATGTAGGAGATGCTTGCTGTGTTTAGAAATACCTCTTACATAATAAATAAAAAAATATGATAAATAAACAAATAAATAAATAAAGATAAATCAATCAATTAACCGATCAATCAATTAGTGTATCAACAACCACAGTATCCACCGACAATGCTTCATTCCTACTCTTACTTATTAACTCCACTTCGGTACATTTGCTTAAAATATGGAGATAACGAACAGTTTTCCACCTCAGAGACCATTTAAACAATACAAATCGGGGGCAGAGCAAACACAGACCTCCAAATACATTAGAGGTAGGATCAGGTGCCATGGAGGATTGAGCATTCCCTGCCGACGAGTCAAACAGCCATATGCTCTGTGTCATGATCGGGAAAAACGGAAAACCCGTAAACAATATATTCAGTGTGTAAATAATGGCCTAACAATTAGCATGAAAAACGTCAGTCAGCATTTGACTTAACGAGGTTCGCTCCTGAGCTTTTGAGCAGATTTATATCTTAACCTATATTTCAAAAATTCTGCATAAAATTTTAATTCTTACAATAAATTTGAATTCTACAATGCCAATTAAACTATATTCAGTTAAAACTTCATGATAAAATTCCATACCAAAAGCATTAAGTGAGGAAATATATTTTGTGGCGGAAGGTTTTTTAGAAGAAAATTATCATTTTTTCTCTTTGGAAGTATTTAAAGTATGTTAAGTTTAGATTCCTATTTTTACATGCAGTCTGCACACAGAGTTATTTTGTGTAGTGAATTGTTTTATACTGGTCATAAATTATATATCAAATAAACTTTCATGAATTCTTTCATTATATTTGATAAATATAGCAAATATATTGTGAAAATCAAGAAAAAAAATATCCCTATTTTAAGCTTAAAATTAGCACTATTTTAGTAATATCTAAAAATTAACATCACAGACCCCCACTTTTTATTTTATTTTCTGAATATATAAAATACTTTTAACCATTCTTTTTAAATTCAATAAAATGTAATTACTTTCAAATGATTTTTTTGCTTGTTAAATTTTTAATGCCAGAAAAATGAAAATTTTTTAGTGCAAAAAGGTCAAATAATTGAACATGCGGAGTAATTTGAAAATTTTTTCGTTGTCACAAATTTTAATGTGTCTATTCAAGATGAAATAAAACTGTGTTTGTTCCCATAATTTATTTGAATAAAAAATATTAGAGGAAAAACTTTAAAAATTGATTTATGTGTAAGACGTATTTACAGTGCAAAAAGGTCAAACTAAATGCTCTGTAGCGCCAAAAGAAGTGCATTGACCCCAATCTTTTGTTTTGATTTTTAA